AGAGGGAGCCCAGCTGGGCTCAACCCTTGCTTTCAGGCCTCTAACTCTAAAGGACACGGGAGTGTTTGGAGGCCCTACTTTGTGGCAGTCTGTTACCATGGTCACAGGACAAACTGACTCTAGGGAGGATGACAGCCCAGCAAAGGGGAACATCCAGGGCATGGGTGTGCTGTGCTCCCTGGTAAAGCTTTCATTCCAGCAGCCTGGCCACTCAAAGTTGGAGCCTGGATACTCCCATGTCTGGGGCCTGTGATGTCTCCACTGTCCTAGGGGCTAGGTCCTGGGATGGTACCGCATCTTCCTTGTAGGGAGGTGATATAACTTCCAGTGCACCCAGCAGCCAAGCTCTGTGCTGGCTACCTGCCAACTCTGTGCTTCTGTCCACAGATGGCCTCGGTGTTCCAGAAAACAGAAGAGAGGCACCATCAACCGTTGTAGCTCCCAGGATACCAGGGCAGGGATGCTGTATCTCTTAAGAGCACTGAGGTACGGGGTGGGCAAGGCCTCATCCCATTGCTGTCAGCCCTTAGCCTTCCTCTCTGATCCTGTATGGCTTTCTGTTCTCAGGGGTAATCAGCCCACTCTCTCCTGGACCCTCTTCCTGCTTCCATGATGCCATTCTCTTATCAACCCTACCACACTCCTCCTCAATGAATAGAGCCTTGTCAGCCACAGCAAGGTCTTCCTTCCTACTCTGTCTCCCACAGTACTGTCCCTACCAATGTCATATTGAATGCCTTTTACCTTTAGCCTGTGGTACCAGGGCTCTGAGCTTTCCACTGGAGACACTTTAAGCCAGTCCTCGGGTACATTGTCATCTCCATTAGCCTACCAGGGTCACCCTGAGGTCAGCATTGTGGGGCAGGGAGAGGTAGCACCCTCTTGCCTGAGGATTTAATACCTTCCTTAGCTTGTTTCAGCACAAATGGCTGGATCTGCTCACTGCTCTGAGTCCTGTATTGCAGGCACCATTGTTTCTGGGGTCAGGACAGATTCTGTACCATCTGGAATAGGGTCTGCCCTGGAACTGCCTCCCACAATCCCCTACGCCCCATTTAGAACTCAAGTTGCCTTCTCCAGATCTGCTTCAAATCCCTGTCCCTTCCTTCCCAGAGCATGCCTGTGTTATTATGACACGCTAATTTGGGAACTGTGACTCACAGATGTCTCCAGGATTCTACCCATACTGCTAGCCCATATCCAATTGAGTATCTGAAGGGTGGGTGACAGACACACTAGCTAGAGGAGGAAGACAGGACCAGGGGCTGCAAAGGAAGTATCATGGCCTCAAGAATGTGGACTCAAACCAACTCTTTTCAATCTTGGCTGGTCTGGGAGGTAGGTAAAGTCAAGTCTTCCATTTGGGGAGTGTCCATCATATGTAAGACAAAGTTGGGTGGTCAGCTTCTACGGGGCTCCAGGCAGCAGCATGGGCAGGAACAGAAGCCTGCCCTGTCCATCCAGTATAGGTTCTTCCATATAAGAATCCCCAAGAGCTTCTTGTGCCAGCCACTAAACTCACACCAGAACCCCTGGGTAAGCAACCTCTGGTGCCTAGCTAGAGAAGGTGTGGTGGTCACTTCCAAAAGCAGCTACCTAAAAGTTCATTCCTAAGCCTACAATGTTGCTATACCCCCCTCATTCATCCACAAAACAGGTGGCATTGTCACCCTGTGGCTGACAAGGACTAAATGGGATTTCTGTGTATGTGTGGAGTGGATCGGGACTTACTTGAAGTCTGACACAAATGATACCATGTCCCAGGAAAGACCTTGAAAAGGGCCAGGGCACCCCACTGCCCACACCAAGCCCCCTCAGCTGGTCCTTCAGCCATTCATCAAGATGAGTACAGAATCTCTCAGGGGTGGGACACTGAGCTCAGTGCCTTTGGAAGGGAACATGTGGCTGTGCTTCCTGTGATGGCTCTCAGCACACTTGAGAGTGGCACAGACACTCCCAGACCCTGAAGAACTGCTGTCCAGTCATATCTATCTTCAGATAGTTGCAGGGCCAGATATGGCCTGCCAGTGAGCTGGACCTGGAAGCCGTCCCTCTCCATCAGGCCTCTCCTACCTGAGCTCTATCCCGGGACAGCTTCCTGTTCTCAAATGTCCAGGCCAGCAATTATCCCCTTCACTGGATCCCCGTCAGCATTTCAACAGCTCCTGCTTAGAGAGGGCCAGGTCGCCAGCTTCCCTGCCTGTGCAAACTGGAAGGGCTTAACTCCAATATAAAGCACATTTGTCCACCAGGGGACCCCAATTCATATAGCAGGAGGTTCTAGCTGCAAACACCAGCTCGGATCACTGATGAGCACTTGACCTGCCTGGCAGGAGCCTCCTCTCCATGTTTATAAAGTCCTTACAAAACCAAAACACCAGCCAGACAAGCACCACTGAGCACTTTGCTGCTATAGAGACCCAGTGCTCCACACTCCCAGAAAGCAAAGGGCTGCTGGGTGCATGTTGGTCCAGGCACAGCCCAGGACCTGGGGCCAGGCAAACCAGTTGGGTGAGATTTTTTTCCCTCTGCTTCCGGATAAGCAGGGCCAGCCCAGAACCTACAAGGCTGCATTCTCCAAAGGGCAGCTAAGGCCTGGCTGGGCTTCCAGAGCCCAGGGGTCTTTGGGTAGGTGTCTGCAGTCACCATCTGGGTCTACACAGCTGCTATGGTGGGAACTGAAAGTCAGGAGAGACTCCATCCATCTCTCACCAGGAGTTGGGTTTATGCCACATAACTGGAGCACATGAGGGGGGCTCTCAGCCTTCATCAATACTGCCTCCAGCCAAACCAGTGCCATGACCAGCTGCTGAATAGAGAGCCAAGGAAGGGAAGAGTGGGGAGGGCCCAGCAAGGCACAGCCAGATGGAGAATTCACCAGGACTGGGAGTGGCTGCAGCTAAGGTTCTACTATAGCCAGGATACGGATGGGGACTCAGGACAAGTCAGCTGACCTTTCTCTGATTAGCCTGCTGGATGCCTTGCCTTAAGATATACAAAGATGCCAGGCGTGGTGGTGTATACCTTTAATCCCAGCAAAGGCTCGTATATCTCTGTGAGCTCAAGGCCAGCCTGGTCTACAAGGTGAGTTCCAGGACAGTCATGGCTGTTACATTGAGAAAGCCTATTTGGAAAAACCAGAGGGGTGGGGAGGAGGAGGAGGAGGAGGAGGAGAGAGAGAGAGAGAGAGAGAGAGAGAGAGAGAGAGAGAGAGAGAGAGAGAGAGAGAGAGAGAGAGAGAGAGAGAGAGAGAGAGAGAGAGAGAGATATGCAGAGGCCTCATCCCACACAAGGTCCCAAAACTGAAGAGAAATTAGCTTGGCTGTGTAGAGAAAGAGATGCTTATATATAACCAGGAACCATTAGAGAGGGTAGATGCCAGAGCAGCCTGAGAGTTGGCCCCAAAGCCTGTCCCCAGTATTGCTTCCTCTCCTGGCACCTCCAATACAACTGGTAGAGCAGTGAACAGGCTTGAGAGGTATCCCAGACTCTCCTCCTGAACCAGATATCAGCTGGCCCTGCTAAGGCTTGGAAGACTGATGAAAGGCTATCATCCGAGAAACCACACCAGATTGGTGGAGTGAGCAAGTGGCTTGGACAGACAAGTCACTGAAAGAACTAAGACCAAGTCAGGGGGCTAGCTTGAGATAGACACACTGCTCTTGTCTTCTGAGTATAATCACCTGACCCAACCTCCAAGTCTATGTGATCACATTAAGCCAAGGATTAAGAAAAAACAAAGCAGCCTAGAGCCAAGAAGAGAGCCCTGGGCCAGACCTCTGTAGAGTCAGCACCAGGGCAGTCACAGCTGCAAGTGGCTATCGGATGTGAGTATGCCCAGTGAGAAGTGCAAGATGGTTGTACCCCTCATGTTTCCAGACGCCCCAGATGGTGACTACAGAGATGGTCCCTACTCCATGTGACCACACCCGATGATGCTTCACTAATGCTTGAATAATGACACTCCCTGCCACACATGGTGCAATGTCCCAGACCCAATAGAGTCCATCTGAGGATTGACTACTAAACTACAGAGTTCTCTTATGAGAGATCAAGACACTATATGGAGCCCTCATCACTCAGAACTGGGTGCACCTGGCCACACTGCATTCAGAACCGTTCAGGAACCATCACACTTGCAAGTGGAGGGAGGGGGTGTTGCCCAGGGGAACAGCCCGCTTGAGGAGTTGAGGCCAGCTCCACTGGAGGTAGGATGCTCTCCTTGCCGTACCCCCCTTCTCTCTGCCAGTCAGATGCCTGGCCACCACCACACACACCCCAATAAGCAGGAGTTTTAAGGCCATTAGTGAAGACGACGAAGGCTACTAGGAAAGAGAGTAAAAAGTTCCCTCAGAGTGACAGAAGATGACGGCCTGCCCTTTGTCCTTCTGCTCTCCCTTTACCCCAGAGTCAGGCAATCTGCATCCCTTTCTCTAAAATTCTAACAGACTCATAGGGAGGGTTTCCTTTTATTAACTGCTGCAAAACTCAAACAATCATCCGATAATCAGAGTCTCTAAAGCACCTCCTCTGGGATGTATGGGCTCCAGGGACAACATCAGTGAGGGCATTAGTGTTTAGGACAGCCCCTGCTGAGCAACAAGACCAAAGTCTGGCTCCCTGGTGGCTGGATGCTGACACAAGCTCAGGATTACTGCTTCGGAACAGCAGGCACCCAGTGAACACAACACTCACCTGCTCCCGGAACCAAAGTTACATTTCAAACTGGGTCAAGAGCTCCCTTATTTCTGGGGCCACATGTTGTGTGGCATTGGCAGCCTCGGTTATTGCTTTCCGATACATCCCCTTCTTCTTACGGTTAAATCTCAGTTTGAAAAATTCAGAGAAAGGGGACAGTTTTGAAATAGACAAGAATGATGTAGTTGGAGACCCAAACCATGAGACTTTTGCTTCTTGCCAAGAGGGCTCTCCATCCTCCTTCTGGCCAAGGCTGATGTCAAGGACACGTGCTGGCCACCAAGGAAAACCATGAATCTTACCCCACACAACGTCCCCTACAGCCACCGTCCTTCCATCTTCAGTCACACATTGTGAGACACTCTGCGTGTGCAGCCTGACCGTGAGGGGAGGAACTGTCTGGCGAGTGTCAGCAGAAGATGAAGGAACGGAGGCACTGTCACCAGATGACAGGTCTCCTGTGTCTGGAGATGTCACTTCTGAACCAGATAATTTCAATTCATCCAGGCTGTCGGTGCTGCACACAGACTCACTGGTACAATCTGCTCTCCTCCCAGGGCAGTCGACAAGAAAAGCCAAGCTATCACGTCCATGTTTGCCTTGAGGAAACCTCTTGAGGTCATCGTCCTCACCGGAACTTCCAGAAGACAAGTCCTCCAGCCCATGGGTAGAGCCATCAGCAAAGAGAGCAGGCGAGCTGGCCAGGGGGCCTCGTGGGCATCCATTCATCTCCTGTACCAGCTCAGCCCTGTACAAAGGCTCATGCTCTCCATCCCTCAGCCGGTGGGGCTTCAAGCGGATTTTGGGAGGCGGTAAGTCTGAGATGGGAGGCACTGGACGAGTCAGCTTCAGCTTGGGAATGGAATGCCCGCTGGGTGGTCGGTCACCACCACCCTTGGGCTCCACATCCCTCGCTACCTCTAAGTCCTGGCTGCCATTCTGTAGAGACTTCTGGGGGCAGAAGGGCTCCACGGAGCCATGCACTCTGGATGGGATCTTGACCACCTCACCCTTGCCCTGTGGTGTGCTGTAGGAGATCTTGATGACTGGGCTCCGTGGAACACGCTCTCCAGGAACCCTATCTTCTTCCCGCTTCTCCCTCTTGCTCCTCCTTGGGGTGGCTGCAGCTATGGAGTCACTGTCCTCTGGTTCCTCCGGCTTCCGGTGTTCACTGTCAGGGCCACTGCCTAGCCTTCGGCGGGGTCTGGCGGTGGTCAGGGGGCCAGGGCTGGCCTCCTGAGGACTCACAGTACTCTTGCATTTCTCACACAGTACCTGGCGTGGTCGCAGACGGATGGTGCTAAGAATGAGTCTACCAGGATCCCGGTTGCGGGACAGTCGCCGCCGGGTCCGCTTGATGGTCCTGGGTGGAGGCTGTGGCACCCACTGCTGGTAGGTGTTCCTCAGCCATAGTGGGTGGGGGAAAGGGGCACCCTCAAAGTAGGGTGGGAAGGGAGGCAGGTTCCCAGAAGGTAGAGGTGGTATGAGTGGTGGGGGAGGCTCGGGCCCAGCTGTCTTGGGAGGCTGATCCTTCTCAGGGGACTGGTCTTTGTTGTGAGGAGGCAGAGGTCCCATTCCCAGCTGCATCACTTCTCCAGTTCCCGCCTCAGGCACCTGGCCATGACAGTTGATGACAGAGGGGTTGTCAGCCAGAGGCAGCAGAGTAGATGGAGACAGGCCAAAGAGACCAGACCTGGTAGAGAGGAAAATCAGAGTGAGAATGGTGAGGATTCTAACTATGCCCACACCTGTCACCTAACAAGCTCTCGGCCTGGGAGGCTATCTGAATCTAGATCCAGAGAGGTAGATTAACATTAAACAGGTATAGGTTGACATTAAATGGGTAAAAAAACCCCCCCCCCCCCCCCCCGGTCTGTG